GTGTCGGGTTGGTTGGCGCGCGTGCAAATTGCTGCGCGTGGCCGGCCGTGGCCGTCTCTGGCCTAGCCATGGCTCGGCTGCCGCTGGCCCCGCCGCGCGGAGCCGCTGCTGCTGCCGCTTGCCCCGTACCGCGTTGTGCTGCCGTCGCGTCCGCCACTGCTGCCTCGCGTCGCGACGCTGCTGCTGTCGTCGCATCGTCGTCGCGTCCGCGCCGGTCCACTGCACCTCTGCGTTGTTGTCGGCCCTGTCCGTGTCGCCTCTGCATCGCGCACGTGGGCGAGCCGCCGTCGCCATGCCATTTATGGTACTGCGGCCGCGTGGGCCACGCCGGTCAGGAGCGCATACGTTGTCCGTAGCGCCGGCGCGTGGGCCTCCCATTCCCTTCTCTCTCTGTTTTCTGCTGCCGTTGTGTCGCAACACGGTGAAGCCAGAGAGCGAGCACCTCTCATCAATTCCTCGTGCTCGCGTCTCCGCCTTCACGTCCCCTATCCAGCCGACCCCACCCCGTCTTGACCCACGTCACGCCGAGCTCCAATTTTAGAGCTTTGCCCGCCGCCGTGCCATTAAGGCCCGTCATCGACAACGCCATGGCCAGCCTCCACCACTTTACCCTGCGCTAATTCCTCTGCACCACTAGCTCACCTTGGCTCCCTCTTCACCGTGCGCACGCCAGTGGGAGCACTACCGCCTCCCCGCTGCCGCTGACGCGGCCGTGTCCGCCATGGCTCGTCGCCATGCTCATCGCGCGCACGTGGCCAGTACTGCTCAGGTAATTGCCGGCCGAACTACCACTTCGGCCGGGTTCGTTGTGTGCCCCTAGTGCTTATCTCCTATCTCTACCGTCCTATTAGCGCTGTGTCTCACCAGAACGCGGTTACCGCCGTTGCAAGTCGCCCGCCGCCGACGAGAGCTCGCTCTACTCCACCCCCGTTCGTGCCACCACTGCCCATCGCTTCGCGTCGAACCCTAGGTATGCGCCGGCCTCGTAGATAGGTCAGTGTGGGTCCCGTGTGGCCAGCGCAAGCACCAGTGCCACCGCTCGCCGCGCTGAAGCCCACGGGGGAGGCCGGGGACCTTGCCGTTGTAAAGAGGAGAAAGATCCAAGGGTTCCACTGCAAAGTCGTTGTCTATAGAAATAGTAACGTGGACTGCGGGTTGTTTTGCTCATAGTTTAGGGGTGTTTTTGCTAATGTGTTAGCGCGCGCGGGATTCCCCCGCCCCGCGCTGCAGGCCGGCCTCGCGTGGGCCGCGCCTATGGGCCGCCGCGCGCTCGCGCGCGCGCGCGTTGCGCCGTGTGGGCCGCGTTGGTCCGAAATCAGTTTAGCTTTTTCGTGGAGAATAAAAATAGCTTTTCATTTTAATTCTGAGCTGAACTTGGGTAATTAATATAAAATCATGTAGGTATCCAAAAATTATGAAACAAATTTTGTTAAGTTCCTAAAATTGTGCTCTATCTGTTAGTGTATTTAGTTCATATATATGCTTGTTGATATCAGGAGCTATTAAACAATTTGAGAGTGCTTAGTAGTATTAGCTTAAATATTGTAGGAATTTTTGTGGCAAAATGGTGATAGCTTTAGCTTTGAAAATTTGACAGTAGCTTCATGATATTATTATGTGCTCCCTGTAGTTTTTGTAACTTTAGCATAGATTTAACATAAGGGTAGTTAAATGCTCTTTGTTTCAAATATACATTAAATCATTAGTAAAAATAAAGATATATCCTTCATTTGTAATGCTAGGTGTCTGTTGGTTGAACCCAACACTTTACTTGATGAAGATGATAGTTATCTTAGTATCTTAGTCATGAGAGCTAGCTTAGTAGTTTACCCTGTGTATTCTTATTTTAAGAGTTGCAGTTGCCGAAATGCTAAGTGTTGCATCATCATCGCATGCATGTAGAGAACGAGTTGGCGGAGATCGTGACCATCGGAGATCACGAGTTAGAGGAGGTGATCGAGGAGTACAAGGAGGAGGTTCTCGAGCTAGAGGAGGTCCCGGAGCCACCACTGACTGACTGAGCTGACACCCTGCCTGCCCAAGGCAAGCCCCGATGCATAACCCTTATTTTGAATAATCACAGGATATATATATATATATATATGTGATGTGCATTTACGTTATAGGCTTATTGTTGAAACTACATGCATAGATATACCTACCTATGAGTTCTACTAGCTTAGGCCATGTAGCTGTTATGCTTAGGTTTTTCGGTAACGTGAGTAACATGCCGTTACTCGCAATATGTGATTATTAAGTATTACTCTCATGATAAAATAGTGAAAAGAACTAGAGACCGGGCAAGGATATGGTATGGGTATTGGTGGGTGTAAGAGGTTGTGTCCCGTGGCCAACGGGGCATAGCTTGGTTACATTGTTTTTCCTGTCTATGTCGGTTAAGGACCGGCCGTTGCATTGGATTCTAGTCAGGTCACAGACTTATTATCCTGAGCACATACTTGCTTATGGGAGCGGGAAGGCTCGTTGCTCTCTTGTCGTGGGTTCCGGCTCTTTCTGGACCGACTGATTGGAGGCAGGGATGGTGGAGGTCTAAGCACCACACTGAGTCCGAAACTTAGGTGTGGGGGCTTAGAGTTCAAGTTTGGACTGGGACCTGGACCCCTTGATAGGAGAGTGGTGAGTTGGTTCTGCTTGTGCCTAGGGTACAAGCGGGACGTGTGTTTTGGGGTACCCAACTAGGCTATATTGATTCATGAATCACCGTGTAATACGGTACAACTTGTCTATGATCTAGCATCGTAGTAACAACTGAAAGATAAAAGATGGTGAAATAGATCTGATTGCTCAACTCTTGCTTGAAAGTAGAACATGTGCTTACATAGAATGGTTAGCTAATGAACTAATCATGACTGCTAATAAAATACATACATAAGGATTCACTACTAGTATTCCTTTTTTGCAAAAAGGAAACCCAGCAAACCATAAAGCTTATCATATTCTTTAGAGTCGAAAATTATTCTCACTAGTCGAGTAAGTCTTGCGAGTACATTGTGTACTCAGGGTTTATTTACCCCTATTGTAGGTGCAGCTTGAGGAGTAGCTGTTGTGTGGAGGATTCTTCTGGTGGGCACAGACGAATCGCTAGATGTTTATTTTAAATTTCGTTGTTTAAATTCCACACTCTAAACTTGATATTGTAATAATGTATTTCTTAAACTCTTGATGTATGAAATGGACTAAGTATTGTAAACTCGTTTTCATTATTGGATCCTGGAGGAAAAACGTGGATTATTCGAGTTCTCCCTTGGGGTGTGCTCGATAGAACCGTCCGATGTAGCTTGTTTTCGGGATGCTTAGTGTCTAGTGGAAGACGAGCGCTTCCGGAAGCATGCTATTTCATGCGGTTCTGCCACAGGTCACATCTGGGAGGCAACTGACCGTGTACGCTTTAGCAGTCAAGCAGACAAGCTTATCTTGCGTTGGACTCAAGATGGAGCATATTCCGCTCAGTCTGCATACAAGATGCTGCAAGCTAGATTAATCAAATTCAAAGGCCATCATCTAGTTTGGAAGAGGTGGGTGCCACTTAAGGTAAAATTTTTCCTTTGGCTGGCCCTTCGGCGGCGCCATTGGACTAGGGATAGAAGGTTGCAACACGGGCTCGAGGCAAGAGAAATGTGCTACCTGTGTGATCAAGAGGTGGAGACCATCGATCCTATCATCGCTTCATGTTCCTACTCACACGAGGTATGGCACCGCATCCTACAAGTGATGCACAGACCGTTTCCACAGCTCGCCTCAACAACTTTCAGCTGGTGGAAGCATCTTCGAGCAGGCTACAACGATCCGCAGCAGTTTGGCATGGACTCTCTGTTTGCCCTCGTGTCTTGGCATGTGTGGAAAGAGCGCAATGCAAGATGTTTTCGCGGATCTGCGGCCTCGGCGACTGAGCTTATGCAACTCCTAAAGGATGAAGGGAGCCGATGGATTCAGGCCGGAGCAAAAGGCCTTGGAAGCCTAGTTAGGCGTTAGCCATGGCAGATCCTCTCCCAGAGTCGTGTGTTGTTATGTAGCAATGTAGCCCCTATGTTCAGCGCGGCCTTCGGTCGCTTACTCTTGCAATCTAAACTTGCTTTCTTATAATACAATGATACGCACACTCCTACGTATTCAATAAAAAAAAGAGAACCATTTTGGCTCTCTCATGGGAGCAATATAAAAGCTTGCTCACAAAGGCCTAACATTGCTTGGTATCCAGACAGCCACTTTTAAAGCCTTAATCTTTATCACTTCAAATGAAAGATATCATAGTAGACCAGTAGCCTTTTGTTTCAAAACAAATATCCTATTAGTAGACCAGCTGCCCCTTCTATTAGTATAAATTCGGCAACCTCTTGCCGCCTTTCGGAAAAAAAACCTATCATAGTCATAGAGATATCTACAGAAGTTTAATGCCAAATTCCACTTCTAGGTAACCGTTTCATAGAGTTGGTAAGCGTTGTAAGATTTTTGAATTCACGACGCTTATCTCCTTCATCTTTAGCACTTCACTAGAAACTTGTGTTGTCGTACCACTAATCATGCTCAAACTTTCTGCATTCAAACTGTAAGCTGGATCGTTGCTGCAAAAGAATGAAAAATATAGTTATATCAACATTGATGTAAATGATAGTGAATGATTGTTGAAATATATATGTGTCTCAAATAATATCTTACAATATTTGACTGAAGTTTTGCCTTGGTGGCATGTCTAGCTCATCTGAACCTCTCTCAAACATTTCCAAGACCTTTCCTATGGTAGGGCGATGCATTGGTAATATTTGGATGCACCACAGGCCAATCACACTCATTTTTCTAGCGATTCCTTTGTTCTCACGTGTAACTTCACATGCCTGTAGTCCATCGTCTTGACCAAAGTGGTCATAAATCCAATGTGGAAAATACTTTTCACTTGACTCTTGAGCCATCGATTTAACATTTTTTCTGCCTCCAACCATCTCTAGCAACATCATTCCATAGCTATAAACATCTGATTTTGCTTAAACAACTCCGAAGGTTCGAGAATGCACTTCGGGAGCTATAAACCCAGGTGTTCCTCTAGCACCGGTCATAGAAAGCTTGCTCTCCTTGGTATGGCACAACTTGGCCAAACCAAAATCAGCAATCTTTGGGTGAAAGTTCTGATCTAGAAGGATATTTTGAGGCTTGATATCGAAATGCACTATGCGTGTATTACAACTATGGTGCAAGTATTCCAACCCTCGAGCGGTCCCAATTGTTATGGTATAGAGCTTATCCCATCCTAAAATTGCTTTGGGATTCTCGGAGTATATATACTTATCCAAAGAACCATTTGGCATAAACTCATATATGAGGGCCCTCTTTGAGCCTTCCAAACAAAACCCAAATAAGCTAACAATATTAATGTGAGATGTCCTGCCAATACTCATAACCTCATTCACAAACTCCTCACCGTCACCTTTGGAGTCATGCAGGAACTTCACTGCAACTAGACGACCGTCATCTAGCCTTCCTTTGAAAACCATGCCATAACCACCTTCCCCAAGCTTATTATTAAGGGAAGATGTTATCTTTGTTACTTCTGAGTACTTGTATCTTTTTGGAGCTAGTGACCCATGCAATAATATTAGGGCCTCAATGTTCTCTTCTGTGGTGCTGCTAGTTGTCTTTTTGCATAGGAAAAACCTTAGTTTTTGCCTATGCCATACCAACACATATATACATGATAGGAGCAAGCTTGCAGCTACTGAAATCGAAACTGAAATTAAAGTAGATGTTATTTTCTTCTCACAAAACAATGAGCATTCAGGCTTAGAGGCCACAAGCAATTTAAATTGTAAATGTGAAAATAAATTATAATGATCACAAATTTTGCTCCAAATCATGTAGTTTTATATTGAAAGCTATAAATTGAGGGCTGATTGTTCGAATTTTTCAATGTGCAAAATATATATATGTAAGAAGCTTTATAGTAGTTCTTCTAAGCTCTTCCAAGTTCCAATAACTGAAATTAAAAATTAACTTATTGCATTAAATAACTATATATAACTACTGAAATTTGGGTTAGTAGCTATGAAAGAATATCAAAAGTAGCATACCTATTAGTACTGTCCTCCAGCCATTCCCGTTGACACCTAAAATAGCAAGGAAATTAATTCAAAAATGAAATAAGTAGTGGCATAATGATTTTTTTTCTGTAAAAGGAAGGAATTATATTAAACAATTGCATATAAAATTTGAGGCATCCAGCTCCCTTATGCTGACTTCTACTATATGCTACTGTCTAAAGTTGATCGCTGTATGCTGCGTGGACGCTGTACTATGTTTATGTGATATATAGGCCCGCTGATTTGGATGCTTTGAAGACCGAAATAATGACGAATTTGATTCTTCTTAACTGTAACAAAGGCGACTTGTTTTTATTCAATTATTCTCGATAACGACTGTATGTCACTAGTAGGACCATATTTGCCAACCAAACTGATACCACGGAATTGATATTTGAATCGGATCAGAACTTGAACGGTAGAATCGAATAGCAAATCGTAGAAGCGTACCTAGGGCATGTTTGATGCATTAGCGCTAAAAGTTAGCAGCTAAAATTAGTACCGGTGGATCCAAATAGACCTGCTAATTATTAGTTGGAGGTCTCCTAATTATTAGTTCTATTAACAGATTTAGAGTTGCTAATAGATGCTAATAGTTCATATATACCTTTAACTCACTATCCAACCACCTACTTAGCAGGTGGATCCAAAAAGCCTTCCGCTAAAAATCTCTATATAGGATTGTTGCACCAAAATCGGTCAAACCATCGTGCCACGTCGCCCGTTAACCCATTAACCGTTGGATCGAGCCATCATAGCTATTAACTAGCTATTTTTTTGTGGTAATGGATCAAATAAGATCTTAAAAATTATAAAATTATATATTTTATTTTGAAAAATCCAAAAATTAACCCGATAAACTAGGATCACAAATGCGTAGATTGTATCATACTATACCCACTTGCCTCAAATGAGCATTTTGGCAAAGCTAACGGCAACCTACTGCCAGGAATAGCAATAAAGTACGCAGGACGACGACAAAGGCACCGAGGCTTCAGGCAAGTGCTCATATTCTTTCTTTTTTCAAAAAAAAAGTGCTCATATTCTTTCGTTTGATGCGGGCTGTCAGAGCACTAACGAGAACAATCATACGCGAAGAGGACACGAGAAAGCTAACTAATGGCATTGGCATGGCATGTGAAGTTGACACCCGGCGAGCACTCCATCCGCTGCGCCGGCAGGGAAGATGGCACCAGTGATCACACGCGTTTATCTATAGGATTGCGGCGTGGGCAGTGCGCGCACCACACGTGAACAGTGCAGACTGCATGCAGCTGCCGCGCGCCAGAGGTACCGGTGAATTGAGGGAAGCTTGCCAGCAAGGTCACTGAGAGTGCGTGACATGAGAGCTAGTACGTGCTTCGTGCAATTAGTGTGTCAGTAAGCACCTAGATCTCCATGGGGGCCTTGGAAGGATAACGCTCGATCGCTCCAGTGGGCAGCACTGACGCGACGCCAACGCGCCAGCGCCACGCCGCAATCTGCATGATGCAACGGGACCAAGAAAGTCGTGCGGCTAAAACGACCAGCACTATTAGAATTATAAAATCGTAGCTTTTATTTTTTAAAATCCAAAAATTAACCCGATAAACTAGGATCACAAAGGCGTAAATTGTATCATTTATATCATAAAACTTGAAATTTCAAAAACTATACCAGGGATTGTTGTGCGGCCAGTGCGCGCACGACACCCCCGGCATGCAATTCGTCAGTGTCACCACCAATTGAGCACGAACACGACACACGAGATAATAACCATCACTTCCAGCTGCCGCTGGCCAAAACTAGCTACCCGTGGATCGAGGGAACAGGGAAGGCAGCCAAGGTCACTCAGGGTGAGATGAGAGCTACTCCTGCGTGTAAATGGGGACCTAATTCCATGGGGCCTACGAAGGATATGACTATGAGCTCCTCTCACTTCCATATGTCAGCCCTGATTCGAAGCTACTATATATATATATATATATATATATATATATATATATATATATATAGAGAGAGAGAGAGAGACCAAAAGAAGTATTCCTCTTCCTGCTAAGCTGATAGATAGATAGACTCGGTATAATACTAGTTCCAAGAGCGAAGTTACCTGGCGGCGGCCATGTCGCTAGGAAGCCATCCCTGACGAGTTGCTCGTAGTTGGTTGCGTTCACCTTGCCGGACACCCCGAGCACCGGTACCATGGTAGCGTTGCAGTCCTCCAAAAAGTAGCTGCCTGCTGACTCGTCGGGACGCCCATCGGCGGCACGAACAAACGTGTTCTTGTGGCATACCGTCTCCACGAGCCCCGCGCCTGGCGGCGGCGGCTTGTTGCAGTTGTAGAAGATGAGGTTCTGATTGACGGAGCTGATCGAGAACGGAGGAGCAAGATGGGACGAGGTGTTGGCTGTCGGGATGTGGCACCCTTCGGGGCTAGACCTATTGAAATATGCTAGTCTATCGGCGATGAGCAAGGAGTGGTTGTGGTAAAAGATGCTGAGGATCTGCATGTCGAACTCGCTCTGAAAGGACCCGAGGTATGGGATGTTGTTACGGCAACGAACCTGGAACCCAATCCCGCCGCCGCAGTTGGTCTGCCCGGCGCCCTGCGGGATGAGCCCAAACGGGAAGGAGATGGCCATGTTGCCGCATGAAAAGGGCTGGCACTGCTCTCCTCCAGCTTGCCCATCTGCTGCTGCCACCGGCGATGGTAAGGATAAGGCCATCCACACCGACGACGAGACTAGGAAGAGCAGCAACGAGGATGGAGCCAGAGCCATGGGAAGCTTCAAAGATGGCATTAGCAGGACGAATAGAAGGGTGAACCGCTCACACTGGCCTCACAGGCACACAGGTAGTGGCAGAGTAAATAGTGAAGGTGAGTCCGCGTCGTCGTCGTGTGTACGTAGACCCGAAAACTTTGACTCGGGCCGTCGTCATCGGAGCACGGAATTTCCGAGGTGCCCGATGGACGGGGCACGGCGAGGGCGACGACTTACGTGGCCGTGGACGCGTACGGGGAGACTACGCTCCTGCCGTCCGACCAACGAGCCCCTCTCACTTTTTCCAAACACATAGACCAAGCCACTATATATATTCCTATTCTTACGGGGAGACTAGCTGTAGGAAGACTTTGAAAGTGGTCATCGCAATCGCAATGCTCTAGATATGATTTTGGCTTCTAGTTCCAACCTGAATATATATATATGTTTGCAAAAGCTACCAAAGTTTACAACAGCCTAGTGTCGGTGTGTGTTTTAACGGAACTCATGTACTCCTGATTTTGCACAGTTGATTTATGTTGATGTGTGTTTGCCACAAACAAAATCTCTTTATTGGTATCTTCTCTCTTAGACGAATGTGTTTCTGTTGATTTCGTGAGAGGGCCTGTAGCTTACGAGAGTCACGGTAGCACCTGACGTCGAGGATTTCACGGCAATGATAGGCGACGTTCCGTTAATAGCGAGACGTCTGTGGTGACTTTGTCAATCTCGTCTTGAGAATTTATCGGTTCAGTCTTCGAAGGTGCTCAAAGGGACGCCCATCGGCGGCACGAACAAACGTGTTCTTGTGGCATACCGTCTGCACGAGCCCCGCCCCTGGCGGCGGCGGCTTGGTGCAGTTGTAGAAGATGAGGTTCTGATTGACGGGACTGACCGAGAACGGAGGAGCAGGATGGGACGAGGTGTTGGCTCTCGGGATGCGGCACCCTTTGGGGCTAGACCTATTGAAATATGCTAGTCTATCGGCGATGAGCAAGGAGCGGTTGTGGTAAAATATGCTGAGGATCTGCATGCGGTGCTCGCTCTGAGAGTATTCGAGGTATGGGATGTTGTTGTTAGAGCAATGAACCTGGAACCCAATATGGGCGCCGCAGTTGGTCTGCTCGGCGCCCTCCGGGATGAGCCCAAACGGGAAGGAGATGGTCACGTCGCCGCATGAAAAGGGCGGGCACTGCTCTCCTCCTGCTTGCCCATCTGATGCCGCCACCGGCGATGGTAAGGATAAGGCCACCCACACCGACGACGAGACTAGGAAGAGCAGCAACGAGGATGGAGCCAGAGCCATGGAAAGCTTCGAAGATGGCATTAGCAGGACGAACAGAAGGGTGAACCGCTCACAGGTACTACACCGGTGGTGGCTGAGTGTAAACGGTGAAGAAGGAGAGTCCGCGTCGTCGTGTGCGCCGCGTAGATACGAAGCTTTTGAGTTTTGACTGGGGGGCATTCGGGCCGTTGTCATTGGTGCACGGAATTTCCGAGGTCCCCAATGGACGTACGGGGCACGGCGATGACCGACGCGACCGCGCATGCGCGCTCTGTCTTTTCCCCCGGCCGGCCAACAAGCTCATCTCACTTTTTTTTTTGCCAAATACATACATGAAATGCAATTCTTATCAGGGACAGAGGGAGTAACAAACAGCTTAGAGTGTTTTTTAGGCGGAACTCAATTGCTCCTCATTTTGCACGGTTGATTTATGTTGTTATGTTTGCATTGCCACAAACAAAAGTAGCTGGACGAATAGTGGTGAACCACTCCTTAAGCGACAGGGACACAGTGATCGACTAGACGGTCAAGTGAGTACGCGTGCCCTGTATAACTATAGACTGTACGTAGACTTTAGCGGCTGAAACATTTGACAGGACATTCGGCCTATTCATCCGCGCTTGGGAATTTCCGAGGTGCCCGATGGACGGGGCAATATTGTGACGACTGTCGCGAGTCATTGGCGTGGTGACCGGAACAGAACGCTTGGTCGGTGACGACTACCAGGGGACCTTTTTTTTTTTGACGAGGAGAGACAAGGGGACTTGTTAACAGACCAAGCCGTCAGAGCGGTAGCACTGGAATGAAAGTTGTGCCAGCCTGCACTCGTCGCGGTGCCGCGTGCACGCGTTGCCGTCTCCTACCATCGTCGGTCATGACTGCACAAACCGCAGGACAACATAACGCACGTACGGCTACGTGCAGCGGAGCCGGAACAAGCACGTGATGCTCAGGCAAGAAGAAGAAATTTGGTGGAGACAGTACAAACAAGCCGCCGCCACGAAACCTATCGCCGATTGATGACACATGTTCAAGCATAAGCATATATAATGCATAAATATATGAAGGAGCTGTTCTCGTAGAAGATATCCATAACCTGGAAATTCCAGTAAGGGTTCTACAGGGATACGCTGCCCTTGTCGCACGCGACCTCGAAAGCCCGGTAGCCGCACTCCGGCGGATGAGTGCTGGCGGGCCAGAACGGGTAGGCGATGGTGAGGTTCCCGCACGACGCTGACGCGCAGGGCACCGTACGTCGACATGTTTACGGCGGCCACAGCGGGGGGAGCAGCTAGCAGAGCGAGGAGCAGTAGCATGGCTGGGCAGAGCAGGCCATCTTTGCGTTGCGACTTGCGCACAAGAGAAAACACGTACTACGGGGTGCGGGAGCAGTCGTAGTTTGAGAGCAACTGTCACAGAGGAAGGAGGTGGTGCATTGCACTGGAAGCCGCGAGGATGTTCACGAACGCGCAGACCCGCGGTCTTCGTCTCCTAGTTCACGGCCACTACAGGTCAGTTAGTCTGCAATTCTGCATGGCGTCTTCCGGGACGAGCTTAACACGGGAAGGAGACGCTAACGTCGTCCTTCTTCCAGCCTGCTTGCACGCGTCATAGATGAAGTGACCTGTGGACCCGTCAGAGGCTCAGAATAACAGAAGCAGAAGCACAGGAACGGAAGGTGTGCCAGCTTGCCTGCACGCGTTGACGCAGCGCAGCTCGCACCGTCGGCCACTCCAAACGGATGGAACCCGTCACATATCGCAGCCACGGAGACACCGTCGTGCGTGAGCAGTGAGCACAAAGGCCGGGATGCCTCCGCACTACAACACAACGTACGGCTCCGTGCCGCGGAACGAGAGCGGGTACATGATGTTCAAGACCCTTGCGTCGCGTCTCGCCGGAGCGCAGTTTGTCTAGCGAAGTGCAACAAGGGAGCTAATAATACGATACGGCTCGACACAAGAGTGCCAAAGTCATGGACGGATGCGAAAGGGGTTTTGAACAGCTTCAGTGATTTGCTTCTTGTCTGTGCGAATGCTGATCAATGCACTGATGAAAATGACATGGGCAAGTGGCAGCATTTAGGTGCCGTACGTGTATATTCGCCTTTTTCTTAGAAAAAAGAAAAAAAAGTATGGTGCACACTCATCGAGTGCCCACAAACACATGGACAATTCCAGAGTCCTCTGTTCAGCAAGCAGAGAGGACTAGCTCGATGCGGCAGCGCCACACTCCCTAATGTCTGGGTGATCTGTCTAACTTGCTGAAAAACAACACCTTTGCTAGGCACTCGAGAAGAAGAAGTTATGTCCATCAGAATGTGCCGAGCGCAGACCATTTCAACAATGCGTGGAAAATTTGTCAGGCAGATTATGGCAGACATGGCATTATGGGGGCCTTTCAGCAAGCAGAGGAGACTAACTCGATGCGCCAGCGCCACACTCCCTAACATCTGGGTAATCTGTCCAACTTTCTAAAAAAACACACGTTTGCTAGGCACTCAACAATTTAAGTCTCTCGGAACGTGCCGAGCGCAGACCATTTCGACAATGCGTGGAAAATTTGTCGGACAGATTGGGCCATCGCAGGCCCTCAGCCCTCAGGCCTACGAGTAGCATCTAGCGAGCTGTTTGGTTTCCCGTACAGTAACATAAACGTAAACAATATCAGTCGCCAGCTAGTTCAAATTTATTCCCGCAGGTAACAATATATATCAGTCGCCAGCTAGTTCAAATTTATTCCCGCAGGTATGCATAAGTGAGACGGTTGACGGTTAAGTAGGTCAGCACATCAATAAGGAGCTAGATCGCTCGACGTAGAGTCTAGCCGATTTTTGGTCAGCCAGCGCCAAGGGTATGTCCGCACCCAGGCCTTGTGCCTCTAGCCATGAGCACGATACGCAAGACACGTCACCGGAAGAGCCTCGCCGGGAGCGTGATTCGCAAGACATACCTACGAGGTCTCTTGAGACCCAAAACTCCACACGCCAGGGAGGGACCCCGTCGGGGTGTGTAGCGGCTATGGGCTGCTCTAACCGGCCTAACCGCTCTACAGCGTCGTCGTCGTCGATCCTCCAGTCATGCAACACCGACGAAGAACGAGGAGAAGAGGTAAATAGGCGAAGAGGATAGAGAGAGTAGTAGATGTGTTTTTGATGATTGAGTGTTAGAATCATTCAATCGGCCGTGATCCTCTCATATATAAAGAGGAGGTGGTCTTATCCCAATAGGAAACAACTCTAGATCATAATCTCTAAATTTTCTATGCGAAAATACGTCCAAATCCTGACAAAAATAGAGTTTGAATCGGACTCATCCAGGCAAACCAGCCTAACCGGTTCCCAAACTGGCTAGGCCGGTTTTCACGGGGCCTGGACAGTCACAGGGATAGGCAAACCGGCCTGACTGGTTCAAACCGGCCTAGCTGGTTCTGGTGCAGTCTGGTGTCAAAAATCTTTCAAAAATTATAATTAATTCATCCAGACTCCAAACGAGGCAAATCATATATGTTTTTCGATCAGCTCGACGAGAGGAACGCAATGGTGCAATCAAATCATGCATTTTAGGAACTTGTTGGGAACTGGCCTGGTCAGTTCCAGCAGGGCCAGTACCTCCGAAATGATGTTTCTTCGTCCAGGCTTCAAATGGGATGATCCAAATATGTTTGCTGACCGTCTCGGCAATAGAAACATGATGGCGGAGTCCATTATATGCTTTAGCCGCTTTTGATTGTCAACAGAAAACAAAGAGTGACAAACCGCTATTAAGAGGATATCAATTATCTTATGCATACTGGGACAATACGACTTTACCTCTTAAAGCCTTAATCTTTATCACTTCGAATGAAATATATCATAGTAGACCAGTAGCCTTTTGTTTCAAAACAAATATCACAATAGTAGACCAGCTGCCCCTTCCAAGGACGAGGCATGTAATATCTGTTGTTGTTTTTCTCTTTTTCTTCTATTAATATAAATTCGGCAAATCTCTTGCCGTCTTTCAAAAAAAACCTCTGTCATAGAGATACCTACACAAGTTCAATGCCAAATTCCACTTGAAGGTCATGGTTTCATAGAGTTGGTAACCGTTGTAAGATTTTTGAATTTACAACGCTTATCTCCTTCATCTTTAGCACTTCACTAGAAACATTTGTTTTGGTACCACTAATCATGCTCGTGCTTTTTGCATTCAAACTGTAAGCTGGATCTTCGCTGCAAAAGAATGAAAAAAATTGTTATATCAACATTGTTGTAAACGATACTGAATAATTGCTGAAATATATATGTATCTCAAATAATATCTTACAATATTTGACTGAAGTTTTGCCTTGGTGGCATGTCTAGTTCATCTGAACCTCTCTCAAACATTTCCAAGACCATTCCAATGGTAGGGCGATGCATTGGTAATATTTGGATGCACCACAGACCAATCACACTCATTTTTCTAGCGATTCCTTTGTTTTCACGTGTAACTTCACATGCCTGTAATCCATCGTCTCGACCAAAGTGGTCATAAATCCAATGTGGAAAATACATTTCACTTGACTCTTGAGCCATCGATTTAACATTTTTTCTACCTCCAACCATCTCTAGCAACATCATTCCATAACTATAAACATCTGATTTTGCTGAAACAACTCCGAAGGTTCGAGAATGCACTTCAGGAGCTATAAACCCAGGTGTTCCTCTAGCACCGGTCATAGAAAGTTTGCTCTCTTTGGTATGGCACAACTTGGCCAAACCAAAATCAGCAATCTTTGGGTGAAAGTTCTGATCCAGAAGGATATTTTGAGGCTTGATATCGAAATGCACTATGCGTGTATTACAACTATGGTGCAAGTATTCCAACCCTCGAGCGATCCCAATTGCTATGGTATAGAGCTTATCCCATCCTAAAATTGCTTTGGGATTCTCGGAGTATATATACTTATCCAAAGAACCATTTGGCATATACTCATATATGAGGGCCCTCTTTGAGCCTTCCAAACAAAACCCAAATAAGCTAACAATATTAATGTGAGATGTCCTGCCAATACTAATAACCTCATTCACAAACTCCTCACCGTCACCTTTGGAGTCATGCAGGAACTTCACTGCAACTAGACGACCATCATCTAGCCTTCCTTTGAAAACCATGCCATAACCACCTTCCCCAAGCTTATTATTAAGGGAAGATGTTATCTTTGTTACTTCGGAGTACTTGTATCGTTTTGGAGTTAGTGACCCATGTAATAATATTAGGGCCTCAATGTTCTCTTCTGTGGTGCTGCTGGTCTTTTTGCATAGGAAAAACCTTAGTTTTTGCTTATGCCAGACAAAAAAGAAGCATGCTACCAATAGACTGCCGCCTCCTATTCCACAGACTGCCCATAATAGTGTATCAACATTAGCAATATGTGGTAACCAATTGATCCTAGACATTCTGAAACATAAGATGCTAAAAAGTTCGTGTAGTGCAGGAAATGGGACCCAATATAATAGATACAAAATACAATACATGGTTGGTACTCACCAATTCCGACTACCATACTTGTTTTCATTTTTGCTCCTGCATAAGAATAGTAACTGTGAATAGCTTGCTAATTTAAATGTAATATTTTCAGATTAAATTAGTCTATAGCCTTCCATGGCTGTCAGTTAAGATATGACAGTATATATGAGGAGAATAGAAAATAAAAAGAACTGTTCAAGGAAAAAAGAGATGTATGTTTAAACATAGAAATGCTCGTTAGCATTCGATGTCCAGCAATAGTGACCATTTTGCACCTTTGTGTGACATGAGAAAATATAAGCCTGTACGGCTGTACAACATAGATGTACTTGTAGATATTAAATAGGTATATTTGCAGTGTTTACTGATGATAAACCTGCAAATTCTCAGTGCCCTACAGCCAGAATCAAACATGATGTCATCCTGGAGACAAAGCCACACTATTTGGTCTCTACAGGCAAAAAATTCCTACTACCATTTCCCCCGTTCGATATACAATGGTCAATTATCAGCGCAGGATATATATATCGATGCACTGAATATCTCTCTCTGATCTCCAGAAACATCATGGAAAAGCAGAAGCATGGCTATGTTACAACCTAAATATTAATGAATTGTCTAGGTATAAATGATTATGGTAAGAAATTGAAGGTGTAAAGTTGAAAAAGACAGCACAAGAAAATGCAGCAACTGCTGGATTTCAGATCCTCAATTGAAGGTGGTACCAACACCATCAACTTGTTAGAAGTAAAAGAAATAAAAATCTTGACTTCTAGACCATAATGACATCAAAATTGTATGTCCATATATAGATTATGTGGTCTTTGTAACTGCTGAAAACAGGAAAAGCATCTGTTAAGAAAATATCTCAGACAAGACAAAAAATATTTCAGACAAGACAAAACCATGATTGAAGCACATCCGGGATGATAGGTTAAATTAGGATGGACAACAGTAATCCAGTGCCTTGTTTGAAACTTTCTTGCATTGTTGTTGGTTACCATTATTGACTTTGACTTTGACTTCATCGAATAGTCATAAAATTCCGTAGTCATGATTGCTGGCCCAAACTATCTATATATTCACCGGCAAATGGAAGAAAATTTAAAATGGGGGATGACTAGAGGGTAAACTTTCTGTCCTCATTCCTCAATAGAACCTTAAAGGGTAAAGCAGTACTCCAAACATAGATGCGTGAAGAAACACTTTTAAGATGAGCATGGGAGGGTTTTGAGATCAATCTAATTTCAAATTATAAGCCAAGGTGTTGGTACCACCAACCAGTGGTTCCTAGGTTCTCTACATAGAACCAAAGATGCAGTTAGATAAGAGAGAAAAATAGCCCTCAGAAATCGTAGCCAGAAAGTAAGCAAATCCTTACGCAAACTGACTCTTCACACAAGCCAGAAAAGTCTTGGTGGAAGAAAATAGCACAGACACGTCATGCTCACAAAAGGCATGCAGGAGCAATATGATGCAACGAGGAAACATCAAACATGAGAATCAAAATAAACAACACCAAGGATTCTTGTGAATATCAAATCATCAAAAAAATTGTCCAAGCCATGCAGACTATATCACTGTTGTGCAGTTGAAACATGACTAATCACATCACATGGGTATGATTGCACCCCATATAAATTCACTGTAGTGTGTTCTTCTCAACTTTAGAAGCTTGATTCCACAACAGATAAATTCAATTGTTTTTCTCGAACGTGCTGTGTAGCACGTATTTCATTAAGAGGAAGTAGACAACACCGAACCAAACAACAAACGGCTCAACACTAGGTAACCAAATGTTTCCTAGGCGAGAAGGAAGAAAAACAGAAGCGAAAAAACTAAAGAAAACTACGACGAAGCCCGGCTACTACCACAAGAGAGACTAAACGCAACAACGGGCGAGCGACAGCGAGCTAGTAAACTAGGCTATGGGCAACGATTGGACGACCTAGAGCGGGTACCCAGAGGTAGGCTAAACCTCGAGGTCAACCCACTCCACCAGCTAGATGCCCTCAATCGCACAGCCTGCCGGGAAGAGCACCCTGATTGCCTCGCGTTTGGACTCCGAGAGAGGCCCGCTTGGACTCCCCAGAGGCCTGCGGCGCCTGATCCTGCTGGCGGACTCCCCATTTTGCCATCAACACGTTCTGGGCTTGCACGGTCGGGTTGGAGGCTCTACATTTGCTCTTGGCCGCAAGCCTCCCGCTACGACGTGGTGGTGAGAATGTGCATTCAACCGCACGACGCCTCCTAGGAACACGGAGACGTGGAGGTTCGACCAAGATCGGCTCCGTGATGGCAGAGCAAAGCTGCGACTGTAGATACTGCGAGATGGCACCTGGTGACCCCGGAGCTGGCGCCACAGCCGCCACCGCGCCCATGGGCGACAAGGCCACAGGCCGGGAAGGAACTCTGGATGGCGTCCTTGCGTGGTCTAAGTGCTCCTCGTCCACAGCCCACCAATCTGAGGAAACAGCCTCCAGATGTGCCCGCCCAGAACGCCTGGATAATGTCTGGTAAGTTGGGAGGTGGCTCAACAGCCAAAGCAGGAAGGAGGCCTCGGTGTACGGGACCATGCTACACACAATGCCTGCCTCCTCCTAAAACTCCTCCATCGGCTGCACCATCCGGAGGACTCATCTTGGGCCAGCTGGGCTAGAAGGTCCACTGACATGATCTCCATGAAGGGTCCGGCTGATGGTAACCACTGGGAAGGGCTTCAGGCACTTCTACCTGCTTACCGATGCATCACCAGCGTGCAGGTGGGAGACGGTGCTTCGACCTCCTCCTGGTGGGACTCATGGCTGGGTGCCTTTACCCTAGCTGTCCAATTCCCTTGCTTGCTCAGCCACTCCACAAACAAAGACGTCTCAGTTCAGCAGATCATTCAACTCGGCATTTCATATAACTTGACAGCGAGACTATCTTCACAAGCCACACTTGAATTGACTGAGGTCCAACAATTACTTGCCTCGATCACTTTAACCCAGCAGCCTGATCGGCGGACTTGCAAATTCACCGACACGACCAGCAAGCTTAATACTGGAGCAATTTATAGAGCATCAACCTACTCTGGTGTCAGCAGCAGGATCTACAATTATGTCTGGGCAAGCAGGGCGCCTACGAGGGTTCGCTTCTTTGGTTGGCTACTTATGCGCGGACGCCTCCAGTGCCGTGCTAATTTATACTATAAACATGTCCTCGACGACGACATCTGTGAGCTCTGCAGACAACAACCGGAGACTTCAGATCACCTCATCTTCCATTGCACGGTGGCAAAAGAGTTCTGGAACCACCTTGGCTTCCAAGGTTTACCTCTCCCATCAGTTCAACAGCTCTGGGATATGCCCAGGCCACCAACGATACCTCCAAAACACTTCAACACCATGCTACTGCTGTGCTGCTGGAACATCTGGAACCATAGACACGATGTTGTCTTCCGCCATCAACAACCTTCTCTGCGTCGCCTCCTAGCTGCCTGCAAAGAAGCCGCCCGCCTGTGGGGTTGCCGGCTACGCCAATGTGACAGGCATTTAGTTGACGTTTGGTGCCAAATGTTTGTAATGCATTAGACTCTCCCCATTCCCCTATATGATGTAATCTCTGTGACCTTGGTCCACGGACCTTTGTAGGTGCTCCCTCCATCCACCGGCTCGCCGGAATTAATGGAAACCATTTAGGTGGGGCTCTCACTCGTCGGTGATGTCTTAAAAAAAAACTACCGGTGGATCGAGGGAACAGGGAAGGCAGCCAAGGTCAGTCTGGGTAAGATGAGAGCCACTCCTACGTGCAAATGGGGACCTAATTCCATGGGGCCTACCAAGGATATGACTATGAGCTCCTCTCACTTCTATATGTCAGCCCTGATTCGAAGCTACTAGTGTACTGTGTGTGTGTGTGTGTGTGTGTGTGTGTGTGTGTGTGTCTATATATATATATATATATATATATATATATATATATATATATATATATATATATATATAGCTAAGCTGATAGATAGACTCGGTATAATACTAGTTCCAAGAGCGAAGTTACCTGGCGGCGGCAGCTGTGGTGGCCACTGCCATGTCGCTAGGAAGCCATCCCTGACGAGTTGCTCGTAGTTGGTTGCGTTCACCTTGCCGGATACCCCGAGCACCGGTACCACGGTAGCGTTGCAGTCCTCCAAAAAGTAGCTGCCTGCTGACTCGTCGGGACGCCCATCGACGGCACGAACAAACGTGTTATTGTGGCATACCGTCTCCACGAGCCCCGCGCCTGGCGGCGGCGGCTTGGCGCAGTTGTAGAAGATGAGGTTCTGATTGACGGGACTGACCGAGAACGGAGGAGCAGGATGGGACGAGGTGTTGGCTGTCGGGATGCGGCACCCTTCGGGGCTAGACCTATTGAAATATGCTAGTCTCTGTCTATCGGCGATGAGCAAGGAGCGGTTTCTGTAAAATATGCTGAGGATCTGCATGCGGTGGTCGCTCTGAGAGTATTGGAGGTATGGGATGTTGTTGTTATAGCAACGAACCTAGAACCCAATCCCGGCGCCGCAGTTGGTCTGCTCGGCGCCCTTCGGGATGAGCCCAAACGGGAAGGAGATGGTCACGTCGCCGCATGAAAAGGGCGGGCACTGCTCTCCTCCTGCTTGCCCATCTGCTGCCGCCACCGGCGATGGTAAGGATAAGGCCACCCACACCGACGACGACGAGACTAGGAAGAGCAGCAACGAGGATGGAGCCAGAGCCATGGAAAGCTTCGAAGATGGCATTAGCAGGACGAACAGAAGGGTGAACCGCTCACAGGTACTACGTACACCGGTGGTGGCTGAGTGTAAATGGTGAAGAAGGAGAGTCCGCGTCGTCGTGTGCGCCGCGTAGATACGAAGCTTTTGAGTTTTGACTGGGGGGCATTCGGGCCGTTGTCATTGGTGCACGGAATTTCCGTGGTGCCCAATGGACGTACGGGGCACGGCGATGACCGACGTGACAGCGCATGCGCGTTCTGTCTTTTCCCCGGCCGGCCAACAAGCTCATCTCACTTTTTTATTTGCCAAATACATACACGAAATGCAATTCTTACTGGGGACAGAGGGAGTAACAAACAGCCTAGAGTGTTTTTTTTGGCGGAACTCAATTGCTCATTTTGCACGGTTGATTTATGTGATACGTTTGCATTGCCACAAACAAAAGTAGCTGGACGAATAGTGGTGAACCACTCCTTAAGCGACAGGGACACAGTGATCGACTACACGGTCAAGTGAGTCCGCGTGCCCTGTATAACTATAGACTGTAGACTTTAGCGGCTGAAACATTTGACAGGACATTCGGCCTATTCATCCGCGCTTGGGAATTTCCGAGGTGCCCGATGGACGGGGCAATATTGTGACGACTGATGACACATGTTCAAGCATAAGCATATATAATGCATAAATATATGAAGGAGCTGTTCTCGTAGAAGATGTCCATAACCTGGAAAGCCCGGTAGCGGGCCAGAACGGGTAGGCGATGGTGAGGTTCCCGCACGACGCTGACGCGCAGAGCACCGTACGTCGACATGTTTACGGCGGCGACAGCGGGGGGAGCAGCTAGCTGAGCGAGGAGCAGTAGCATGGCTGGGCAGAGCAGGCCAGCGGCGGGAACAGGACATGCGTGCATCTTTGCGTTGCGACTTGCGCACAAGAGAAAACACGTACTGCGGGGTGCGGGGTGCGACTTGCGCACAAGAGAAAACACGTACTGTCACAGAGGAAGGAGGTGGTGCATTGCACTGGAAGCCGCGAGGATGTACGTTGGCGAATGCGCTGACCCGCGGTCTTCGTCTCCTAGTTCACGGCCACTACAGGTCAGTTAGTCTGCAATTCTGCATGGCGTCTTCCGGGACGAGCTTAACACGGGAAGGAGCCGCTAACGTCGTCCTTCTTCCAGCCTGCTTGCACGCGTCATAGATGAAGTGACCAGTGGACCCATCAGAGGCTCAGAATAACAGAAGCAGAAGCACAGGAACGGAAGGTGTGCCAGCTTGCCTGCACGCGTTGACGCAGCGCAGCTCGCACCGTCGGCCACTCCAAACGGATGGAACCCGTCACATATCGCAGCCACGGAGACACCGTCGTGCGTGAGCAGTGAGCACAAAGGCCGGGATGCCTCCGCACTACAACACAACGTACGGCTCCGTGCCGCGGAACGAGAGCGGGTACATGATGTTCAAGATGTTAGTTGATCTCCACCAATAGGCCCAACGGTCTATTGAGCCCTTGCCTCTGCTCCCTGATCGGGGGAGCCCAACCCTAACTGGTTGGTGGGCCCCTGTCGCACAGCACATACAAATAGAGAAGGTGGGGATCGGGGCTCGTACGACGAGGTTCAACGGAGCCGCCACTCCCACCTACAGTAACCCTAAACCGATCTAAAGACCGTGCTGCTAGCGACGGGATGTGCCCCAACCACCGCCGTCGCACCTATGCAGGGTCACCACAGCACCACTCGATCTACACCGGGCCACTGGTGATTGTCTCCGCGGCGCTGGACGCCTTCCACACCGACGGCATCGGCGTCAACACTGCTGATGCGCTGAACAGAGAAGGTGAGGAGCCTTCCCACCTCTACGGGTTACACAGAGGTACGAATCTACGTTTCTAACAATGGCATCAGAGCCAGGGTTGCCTCTGTATCCCTAACCCTAACCGGGTAAAAGAAGAAAGAAAAACCACCGCCACCGCGCGGGGGGAAAAGATGATAGCACCGCTGTTCTACACCGGCGCACGACAATAATAGAAGAGATCCGTGTTCAGATCAAAGAAAGAAAGGAAGGAAAGAAAAGAACAGGGATCGGCACACGAACCCTAACCCTAATTCCCACCTTCGGTTCGGAAAATAGATATCAGTCCAAATCGGAGAAAGGAAAAGGGGAAGAAGGGAAGAGATTCGGATGAACTCCGAAAAGGAAAAGAAATCAAAAGAAAATGAAACCCTAACCCTAATTTGTAACCCCATTCCAAATCGGGTTAATCCCAAAAGAAGAAGGGGAAGGGAAGAGATTCGGAACCCTAACCCCCTCATCCCAATCGGAATCAAACCCGAAAAGAAAAGAAATCCAAATCGGTTCAATCCGAGCACCAAAAAGAAAAACAAAGAAAGAGGGGTTCGGCCTAGACCCGCTCAAATCCGAAGGGGAAAAGAAAGGAACCCCAGATCCGATTGGGGAAGAAGAGAAAAAGAAGGGTCATAACCTGAACCCTAACCCTATTTTCCCATTCGGATGAACTCGAAAAGAAAAGGAAGAAAGTCTACCTCGCCGCGTGTCGGATGTCCCTTCGCCGGCGTGGGAGAAGAAGCCGAGCCGGGGAGCTGGCTCTCGGGGCTCGGCCAAAGAAAGGGGCGCGTGGCTAGGGCGCTCGGCAATGGCGTGCTCACTGTTAGAGCACGCAGGCGCCGGCGAGGGGGCCGGCGACGGCGCCATGGACGCTCCACCGCCTGGCTCGCCTTGCTCGCTCTCGCTCGCTGTCCTCTCGGTCTTGCGCTGCGCTGAGAAAAGAACGGCGACAGAGAGAGAACGAAGAGAGAGAGAGCGGCGAGGAAAATGAACTAGGGTTTCTGAGGAACCCGGCCGCGGCGGCTTTTGACCTCCCGAAACGCGCGGGCGAGCCGTCGATCAGATCGAACGGCTGCAAATGATCGGGCCGACCGCGGCCCAAAGTGAGGCAGCTTGGCAGCGGCTTTGCGGCCCAGGCCCAAAGTTGCGCCTAGGTCTTTGCGCAGCCATGCGGAGAATAAAGCCTGGGTCGGGCTGGTTTTGCTGGCCGGGCCAAAAGTATAGTGATCAATTTGAGTCATTTTTCTTTCGTTTTTCATTTTCCAGTAAAGGTTTTATTTCCTAGAAAATTGAAAATACAAATTGGCTCAAAAGAAAATATAGAAAAGATATTTTTCCCTGTGGGTAAAATTCAAGAAATTGAGTATATGTTTTCCGCTGCTAAAGAAAAAGTATATTCTCCAGTGTTTTTGAACTGACATGATATTTAACTGGAGAAAAGAAAAGTTTTTCCAGTAAATGTTTATTTCCTGGAAATTGATTAATGGATTAAAGGAAATAGAAAATACAATTTTCCCTATGGGTAAAATTCAAGAAAAGGAGAAGTTTTTCCACAGCTAGAGAAATTGTTTATTCTCCAGTTAATTTGTACCAACGTGGTATTTAATTGGAGAAAAAGAAAGTTTTTCCGCTGCTAAAGAAATTGTTAATTCTCCAGTTATTTTGAACCAATGTGGTATTTAATTGGAGAAAAAGAGTTTTGATATGATTATGATGTTGTTATTTTCTGACCAACGTTGTTAATAACAATATCGTAATTTTAATGATTTATGCATTGATTCTACTTCTGCCCAACGGTGATGTAGAATTAGTGTATAAGAAAAGTTGATAATTTTAATGATTTATGTATTAATTCTACTTCTGCCCAACGGTGATGTGAAATTAGTGTATAAGAAGAGTTGTAAAAGATAATGATTTATGCATTAATTCTATTTCTGCCCAACGGTGATGTAGAATTAGTATGTAAGAACAGTTGTGAAAGTTAAAGATTTATGCATTAATTCTATTTCTGCCCAATGTTGATGTAGAATTAGTGTATAAGAATAATTGTATGTTTTGATTTTGACCAACGTTGGAATCAAGGCATGCAAATGGTGTTAATTTTATGTTAAGAAAAGATTTGACCTGGTTTTCATCTTATTTGAGGTGGACTGGGTAGTCACCTCACCGTGTTCCACTGAGTTTGTGGCACCGGTGAGGGAGACAAAAGAGAATGATGCCACTTGGGCAACTAAAGAAAGGGATTTTGAATCCCAAAAGATATCCTATGGCTTTTGAGCATAGGAAGTGGGTCACTGCAAACAAGAAATGTTTGGCGGTGATAAAGAACGTGATTGAACCTGCAATTGTGGGCTCAATCACAGAATGTGACACGGTCACCGAATACCTCGATAGAATAAAGAGTCAGTTCACTGGCTCTTCAAAGACATATGCCACTTAGCTGATAAAGCAGCTGGTCACAGAGAGTTAATCTTGAAAAGGTGGCATAAGAGAGCTCACGATGCGTTGTCGAAATTATGGCACTATCGTTCAGGCCATATTTCGAGGGGGAGAATAGAAAGACTAGTTAAGAATGATATTCTTCCTCCATTAGAGCTCTCAGATTTAGAACAATACAGAGAACGCATAAAAGGAAAGTATGTAAAGAAGATTAAGAAAGATGACAAAAGAAGCATAGGAATTTTATAGATTATTCACACAGACATCTGTGATCAGCTTTCCTGTAAAGAGTGTGGATGGTTATGTTTCGTTCATAACATTCACAGATGATTACTCTCATTATGGCTATATTTATCCAATCAAAGAAAGAAAAGATGTATTGGATAAATTTAAGATATTAAAGATTGAGATAGTCAGGTCTGATCGTGGGGGAGTACCACG